GGAACCCCTGAGACCACCCCGGTCAGTCACCCGGACCACCACCCCAAGAGAGGCGCCCAGCAAACACTTGTGGACACGATGGCGTTACCCACAAGTGTAGCGCCAATCTCGTCGCACGATAGGTATTTGCCCTATCGTACAGTTGTATATAGTTTATATTTACCCCTGGTTCACCTTCCCCAAACCGATCCTGCCTATTTAGCCCACTTGACTCCCGTGCTAAACGACAAACGCTCTGACCCACCAGATAGGAGACTAGCCCATAAAACACTAAAATGGCCCGGACTAAAATAATGTCCCTGAATGTGCGGGGACTGAATTCTCCTATGAAGCGCACTATGTTGGCGCAGGAGATAGATAGACAAGGAGCCGATATCATCTTACTGCAAGAGACACACCTTAGAGGTGACTTCCAACCGAAAATACGCACTAAAGGCGCCCACACAGCATACTACAGTAATAACGCTCACAAGAAAACCAGAGGGGTGGCAATACTTATAGCGTCTGGTGCCGCCTTTGTGAAGTCAGATATTAAAAATGACCCCAAAGGCAGATATGTGTTCATCAAAGGAGTCTATAACGGTACACTAGTGACCATAGCGAATATCTATGCTCCTAATGCTGATCAAACCCCCTATATCCGCTCCTACTTGACCAAACTGGAGGGATTTGCCGAGGGAGTGGTGATAGTGGGAGGGGACTGGAATATAGTACTTGATCATTCAATTGACAGCTCCTCTAAGGCTGCGGATACTAGACGCCACCAAAGACTCTTGCTCTCCAAACTGCTCCACTCACACCAGCTAGTAGACTGCTGGCGCACACTACACCCACAGGACAAGGACTACACCTACTACTCTCAAACAGCTAACAGCTACTCTAGAATAGATATGGTTTTCATCAGTCACAGACATCTCCCCTTGCTGAATGAAGCATCCATAGGGAAAATCACATGGTCAGACCATGCCCCAGTGTTCCTGACACTCACCATCCAAAATGAACCTAAACCTGCCTCTCACTGGCAATTAAACGAATCCCTATTAGATGACCCCAGGGTCCTGGTAGACCTACGACAGACTCTGAACGATTATTTTACTGAAAACAGGAACAATGAGGTGTCGGATCCATGGGTATGGGAGGCCCACAAAGGGGTCATCAGGGGCATCTTCATTAAGTGGGGATCTAGGATTAAAAGGGAACGATCACATAAAATTGATACCTTGACAGAGGCTATACAAGTAGCCGACACAAAACATAAACAAGACCCAACAAGCGACAACTTTCAGACCCTGACTGCACTACGCATAGAACTTAGATCGTTACTGACTGTAAAGGCATATAGATCGGTACAATTGACGAGGACCACTTTTTACGCCCAAGGTAACAAGAGTGGGAAATTATTGGCCAAAGCTCTGAAAGCTAAACAACAGAGATCCTTCATTGACAAGATCTCAGATGGCACAGGGAAGTCGTGTAACACCACCGATGACATAGCAAAGGCATTCAATGCTTTTTACTCAAATTTATACAACCTAGCCTCCCCAAGTGGCCAACTCCACAACCTAAGAGAATATGTCACTGCGCATCTCCCACGCACTATCCCGACCGCTGACTCGCACACACTAGACGAACCGTTCACACAGGAGGAGATACTAGCAACCATTAAGTCCCTACCGAAAGGGAAAAGCCCGGGCCCAGACGGGCTAACGGCAAGGTACTACCAAACATTAACACAGGAGCTAACTCCTCATTTTCTACACACATTGAATGGCCTCAGCCACAACACGGTACTTCCACCCCCCATGCTCTGCGCCTCGATAACTATTATCCCTAAACCAGGCAAAGACCCCACAAAATGCGGCAGCTATAGGCCCATATCTCTTATAAACTTAGATCTCAAATTGATGGCGAAAATGATAGCGAACAGGCTTAAACCGTTATTGCCGAATTTGATCCATCCAGACCAGGCCGGCTTTGTGCCGGGACGTGAAGCCCGGGACAATACCACAAAAGTTATAAATGTTATCCATGGGTCTACTATCAATAGAACACCGACACTTTTAATGGCAATCGATGCTGAAAAAGCATTTGATAGAGTTGACTGGACCTACCTGTTCACAGTCCTGGAGGTCCTGGGAATTGGCCCAAGACTCCTGAACTGGATACAGACTCTATACAGAGGTCCCTCGGCCAGGGTCAGAGTAAACGGCCAACTGTCCACGCCCTTCCTCATCTCCAATGGCACACGCCAGGGCTGCCCTCTATCTCCCCTATTATTTGTCCTAGCCATGGAACCATTCCTAACAGCAATCCGATCTAATACAGACATACACGGATTTGGGTACCACGGAGGCGAGGTGAAGGTCTCTGCATTTGCGGACGACGTTCTGTTCACACTCACGGACCCAATAAAAACCCTACCTCACGTACAATCGGAGATCCAAACCTTCGGATCACTATCAAATTTTAAGATTAATGCGGATAAGTGCGAGATCCTAGGAATCTCTGTACCCGCAGCATTGCAAAATACCATTCAACGAACCCACACATTTCCCTGGACACGGTCAGGCCTGACATATCTGGGGGTACGACTCACTACTAACATCACGGAACTATACAACATCAATTACCCTCCCCTCATAGAGGTCATTAAAAATGATTTGCACAGATGGGATCTACCCCATATCTCCCTAATAGGCAGGATCAGTGTCTTAAAAATGATGGTACTGCCAAAAATCCTATATATACTTCAGGCCTTGCCTATTCCACTCCCAGGGTCATTCTTTAAACGAATGAAGACTATCTTTGTTAAATATATTTGGGGAAACAAACCGGCAAGACTTGCCTTGACCACACTGACGTCCACCACGGACAGGGGGGGCCTGGGACTACCTCACATATATAAATATTACGTAGCAGTCTTACTTACCAGACTAAAAGAGTGGACAGACACAAGTAAGAAAAGATCGTGGTACGATCTAGAACAGAGCTTTGTACCGGTCCCTCTAACGACCCTCCCGTGGCAAAC